AAGTACTGTTAACTGAGCATCAGTCATGTTGACTACCACCAACAATTGTTGAAGTCAGTGCAAATGTTGTGGGCAACAATGACGGTTCTTGTTACAAACTATAATCTTTGTAGCGAACTATTATAATTGTAGTCACCAACTATATTTGTTGCACTCTAATAATGACTATTTTAGCCAAATAATTAATTTACATTTGTGATCATCAAATTTGGTAATATTATCTTCTATGTTTATGAAGAATAATATATCTCTATACCTTTAATTTTTTGATGAATTATTTTGACTTGACTAAATAATCCTACAAACTTTTAATGATGTATTTTTTACAGAGTAACCCATGAGCTAACTGAGTCAACTCAGAATGGGCTCAAATTTAGCAGTTTAACTCATCAAGTTCAGCTTATAAACCATTTATCAAATGGGGCAATTACATACAAACACCACCATGAAGCCCGGTATTTACAAATCAAGCACCCTCTTTCATCCATTTTTCAAATTCACACTCACATATCAAAATTCATGGTAAAATCCCAACGCATATTTACCATTTTTTATAAGATTCTCAATAGTTTGATCTTGGCACACGTAAATATATCGGTTCAGTAGTTCAAAAAAATGACCTAGGTGGCTAATTTGTAAATATCAATATTTTCGGGTGCTCTATATGTAATTATTCACTGAAACTATTTTAACCTCAATTTAAAAAAATTGAGGACTATTTTGACAATTACGAATTTGGGAACTAAAGGCTTTACTCATTTTAAAAGCTTACAAAAGAATACGTTACATGCGACAAAAGCATATTAAGAAACTAAAAGGAGTTATCTAAAAGTTTATATAGACGGCAGCAATTAACTTTATAAATAATTACATTTTTGTTTGAAAATTATCGTTTTTTCTAAGGAAAATTTGTCTTAAATATTGCATAATCTTGAAGTCAGATAATTCTTTATTTATTTATCATAATCTAACATATTTGGATGTAAGAATTATTTCCATCATTTATACACCAAAACTATTGGAACAAATCTCAAAGAAAAATAACAATTGAAGGGCTAAAAAGCTTCCTTCTGAGGTAAGTCATCGACCGACAATCCAACACTAAGCATGAGAAGCTACGTCTCTAAAGCTGAGATAGGACAAATATCTGGAGATGTTTTTCCGCTCGATAAAGAGAAGACCTGCTAAGAGTGGGGCACAAAACATGCTAACAATGAGTCTCGTCGAATATCCCGCATATGCGGCGACAAGATCATCCAATACTTTGCTTGTGAAAGGGAATGTCCGGCCAAGGTGATGAACCGACCAAGCAAACAAAAAAGCAGGCCCTGTAAAACTTGAGCCAAACGACAAACGAGTTACGACTCACCCGATGAAACAAATTGACGCGTCAACAGACCGAGCGACCAAAGCACATGTGATAATCATCGACCACGGCTAATCGGTTGACTTAGTTTTTGTAATGACGGACGAGATCAACACTCGACCGGATACCTCATTCGACCAACATAAGACAATGTCACCACTCAGCCGATCATCTCAACCTATCGAAGTCAAGAAAGTTGACCGGACAGTTACCATCATGTTAGAATTGAACTATAATACATATATGTTATAAAATTTATATAATTAACCACAGCTTTAATTACATTAAGAACAATTTTCATAAATGTTCCCCCATATATAACTGTACAAAATATGCTCCTATAAACAAAAGACGAAAGGACGAACAAAAGTATGTAGACCGTTTGAACTCTCCCTCAGATTCCTTCGCCAGTGAAGTCATAACCCGCTCTACTTTCTTGTCTCTCATTCACTCAATTCTAACTCACTCTCGAGACATATTCATAAAGAAAAGCAAGGATTCAACGCATCATAAATTTCTTAAACAATATAATATATATACATATATAAATCTCCAAACGGATAGAGTCAGGAGTTGGAATCCAGATTTTAAAGGGGGCAGAGGCAATGGAATCAGGTGTCTGCATCAGCTGTAAAAAACACGGGAGCAAACGGCGCTGTTACAGCCGCAATATCATCTGACTCTGCCGGCCGTCCAGGAAGCATGTGCAGGCACGCCATGTGATTGATCAATCATGCATTGATATGTTTTTGGATAAAAGTACTTTCTATTGAATTTTTGCACTTCCATGCTGTGATTGGTGAAGTATGGAATTATTTAGGTGTTATTTGATACAAATATTAGAGGCATAAACTAAGAAAATATGTCAAAAGATCTAATTTCTTTTACTTGACTTGAAATAAATTGAAATTAAGTTGTGTAAAAGAAAATGATAAATCTTCTAAGCTTAATACAATCATGATGTAAAAGACTATTTGGCACCAATCAAACACCTATAAAAGCTTAGTAAAGGATCATGGATGGAACAATTGTCAGTCCTTTCAACCTTCAAGTTGGAAGAATTGGTTTTGCTTAATGTTATCATCCTAGCTAGCTTTTTCCTTTTTTGCACAAAATCTACTAAGATTTTCTTAGGCCTTATTTGTGATTAATTTTATTTTATTTTTTTAAAAAATTATTATATATAAAAAAAGATTCAAAACGAGTTTACTTACTTTAAGTGTTTTTAAAAATAAATGTAATTATGGTTGGGCAGCATCTGTACTAGCTATTGCTTATTGTCAGTACCCCAGACTCATCATCATTTGTCGCATGTGAACCCTTAATTTTTTTTGTAAATTTATATTTTATAGATAAATAAAAAATTTTAAATTTAACTAAATGATAATTTTTATAGTATTTATTCTTAAATTAGCATAAATGAGAGCTAAATTAACTTCTAATCAAAATAAATTTTAAGCTCTTTAACACAATAATTTTTATGTATTAACTCAAATAAAAAGTAACAAATTATTTTTAATAAACCATTCATTTCAACCAAATAAATCTAAATATTTATTTTAATAGTTAAAGAACCTTTATTTAAATAAAAATGTGAGGAGCTTGAATTTCTTTTGCATAAATAGATTAAAATTTCAATGTTCCTTCGTTTAAAATTTCAAATGCTTTTGAAATACACAATATTTAAAATTTATATTATATTTTGGATTATTTACATATATAATACATAAATTATATGCATTTATATATTAAATACTTAAACTTAGACATTTACTTCTATATATAAAATATAGTGTTATTTAAATTGAGAAAAAAAAAATATTAGGTGGGTCCAAAAATATGTTAATCATTCAAAAATTTTATAATATGAAGATTATTATATATATTTTTTCTTTTTATGTTAACAAGTTATTACAACAAAATTGTTAAACCCACAAAATTTTAATCCATAGCTTAAATAGTACATAAATCATATGCATTTATATATTAAATCCATTGTTAAACCCACATATATAATAGATAAATCATATGCATTTATATATTAAATAAACTTAGACAATTACTTCTATATATAAAATTTAGTGTTATATAAATTGTCAAAAAAAAAAAAAAAGTGGCGCCAATAATAAGATAATCATTCAAAAATTTCATAATATGAAGATTGATACGCCAACAACAAATTTTCATCATCTATCACAAATCTCAAGACAATATTTTGAACAAAAAATATTTAAATCTTGATGAAAAGTCATTCAAAGCTCCGATTTTAGTAAATTTATAGTCAAACTAACCGGCTCGATGAAAAGGATCCAATGATATAAAAACTAGTCCAATCCGAATCAGATCAAGCCCGGATGAAATCATCAACCACACTTGGAGGATTTCTGGAGGCATTTGAAAGGTCAAACATATGTCAAATTGAGCGTCTCGACAAGGAGAATCCAACAAGCCCAAGATTGCCAATTCCGACAACGTTAAAGCACTCAAATGTCCATCAAACGCTATCTGATCGAGGGAAGCTCTCTGAACCGTGTGATAAAAAAAGGTTCATGTTTCTGCATTAATTGCACCCAAAACACTATAAATATAGCATCAATAGCATCCCCCCCCCCAGGGGGGGGGGGGGGGGGGTTTGAGAGAGAACATGAGGCTTTGAGAAGGAGCTTAAATCCAACATCATCCCTGCCATCGCAGACCACCGTGGACCACCGAATACCGCCGTCGCCCACCACCAATCACCGCCGACCGTCATCCATTGTCGCCGCCCGCCGCTAACCAAACGTCGTCAGTCGACGTTGTACCTTGGAAAATCTAGTAACATTTTCCCGTGTGAGGGACAATGGATCTCTGTAATCATCAACTTATAACGAATTTTTATAACTGGGTCAGACCCTGTGATTTTTTCCCTTTACGGGTTTTCCATATAAAAAATTCTAATGCCATCACAGGTTGATTCTCTTTCATGTGAGTGTGTGTTGAATCCTCGTGCAAAGCTAAGACGATAATCCATTACTCCACCGCCGCAAATTTTCTAGCACGCATAAAAGATTATTATATATTTTTTCTTTTTATGTTAACAGGTTAGTGCAAGAAAATTGTTAAACCCACAAATATCAATCCATAGCTTAAATAGAAAAAAATGAGAATTTTTTTTTAAGTCAACTCGTGCTTTTACTTGAAAAAATATCTCTCTCTCTCTCTCTCTCTATATGACACATGACACATGAACTAATGAGCTCAGTCCTCATCATATAAATTAATTTATCCAAAATTAAAAAAAAAAATTAATTATATTTATAAGTTAAAAATAGTCTGTGATGATAAACTTTCTAGCTCATCCGACGGTGGTACGCGTGTGGATTGCTCTCTTGATAAATATTATTTTAGTCAATTTTAAAATTGAGAAAATTTAGTTTTCTTTAAAATTTCAACTTTTTTTTTAAATAAATTTAAAATTGCAATTCCTATTTACTGACATAGTAATATCTAAATTTTTAAATTTACATATTGGCCCCTAAAAAAAATCAAATTGCACTTCCCTGAGGGAGTTAAGCGGGCGGGACCAGGGGCATATTAGTCAATACGTGACGCTGGTAGTTTCATAAATTGAACTTGTTCGTTCGGCTTTCCTGTTTCAAGAAGGTCGGCTGAGAGTACGCTGTACCAGTGAATTTTGTGTGTAAGGCCGAAGCCTTCGAGTGCAGTGGAGCGGGTAAGGAAATCTGCCGGCCGGCTGCGTGAAACAAGGGTTCCGGCGAACTATTTCTTTGTTGTGGCTCCATACTGTGATTGAAGAATCTTGATCGGTCTACTTGGAGTTCGATTTCTGAGGCGAGGGTTCTGATCATGGTGTCTGGTTGTCAGCGCTCGGATTCACAACGTATGGTTGCGAATTATATGTAGGCTTATATGTAGGCGCCGTGTCTGAAGATATAGTGGTACGATCCGATCTCTTCTTCATCTTACTTCTCTTGTGAAGGTTTCCTCGTTTGGCGTGTCTTTTCTTTTGTGGAAGAGGAAAGCTCTCCCTTCTTCTTTTGTTATCTGGCGTAGTTCGCCTTTTCATCTAGAAATATATTTGGATTTTTGTGGGTAGTGCGGATCCTGCTGTTTAATACTTTGTTCTTAGATCTAGTTTTGTTGGCTTTAGTATTAGGGCCAGATTCTTTCACGCCTGAATGAGTTGTAGACTGTGCGGTGCTTGTAATTTGGTTGCTGGAGTCCGCTGGAGTAGAAGGGGACAGAGGCAGACTGTCTGTTTGGGCTGGATTTGTTTTTTTGGTTTTCCATTTCGTGGGCTTTGGCTGACGATCTATTCTGGGTTGTTGCAGAATTTAATTTGTTGTTGGTGCTATTTTACATTAAATGATGGAAGCTGCTGACGGAGTTGAAATGGAGTCGTCTAACGGTGGCTTGGAGAAAGGGTTGACTACGAATGGACTGGGATCAGGTGCTGCTGTTTCAGAAGAGAATGGTGCCGGCGCCTCAGAAACAAATGGCAGCCCTCAAGAACAATTGCAAGCTCAAGCTGCCGATGTTTCTGAAACGGGGGTTAAAGACTCATCTTCTATTTCTAAAAACACAGCTTCAAATATCTCAAAGGTATATTAGTGGAGCTTTTTTCTGTCTAGGACTGGATTGCTTAAAGTATTTCTGAGTTGAAATCTTTGATTTGAAGAAAGCTGCAGCTATTCAAGGTAATGGTTTGAAGAACATCAAGACTCAGAAGGTTCAAAAGGATGGATCTAGTCGGAGTGGGGCAGTAGATGCTTCCAAGAACTCGAAGGCCAGACTTTCTCAGAGCCTTTCTTTTTCTGTCAGAAGTCTCCCTACAAATGGCCTGAGAAAGAGCACATCAAGTTTGAAACAGACAAAAGTTGATGCCAACTTTTCCGGTGCAAATGATTCAGAACTTATGGCTGGTGGGTTGCACGATTCTTCTTGAATGCTGTAATTTAGGTTCACTGACATGCATTTTAACTTCATTCAGTTTACAATTTGCAGCTGGGACTGCTGCTAGGAGAGAAAATACTGTGGCTGCAGGTAGCTCACAGCGGTTGTTGGTAAGTCTCTCAAAAGAGGGTGAAAATAAATTCTTACACGGAAATGTCTTTTTCTTGTACTGACCTGTTCCAAATTATGTGATTGCAAGCCTGCGCACGCTGGTTCAGTTGATGGTGGAGCATCTTCTGAAGCCACACAGTAAGCTTTTTATATCTCTATCCGAGTTGAACTACACCCTTTATTTTTTTATAAGGGCATTTACATACAAACCACCTAGTTCCTATACTTTGTTTTTTACATCTATAGTCTATACCATCCAAATTTTTTATATCACTTCAAAAGTACCACCATTTTAATTTTTGAAAAGTGAAGTGCAACTTTCCATGCATAGAGAAGGTGGCGTGTATGTAAAAATTGAGGTTTAGGTGATATATATGTAAATACATAAGAATTGAGTGGTATGCTTATAAATCTTCTTTTTCTAAAATGCTATGGAAGAACTGCCCAAAGCTTCTTCAAATTTGATTTTTTTTTAATTATGAAAATGCATTTATTTTACGGTAGGAGGTATCTTCGTGTATGTTTTTCGTGGATGATTTCGTTCTTGTGGATAAATGTATGTTTTTCGTTGATGATATCTTTCTTGTGGATAAGAGTAGAGAAGAGTTCAGGAAAAACTTAAGTTATAGAGGTCTACATTAGAGTCTAAAGGCCTTCGTTTGAGTAGATCTAAAACTGAATACATGGAATGTAATTTTAGTAGTAGTAGATCTAGTGGCATAAATGTACCTATGGGTGATCAAATCATTAAAAGTTGTGAACGTTCTAGATGTCTCGGGTTTGTTATTCAAAGTGATGGTGATATAGATGGGGATGTTATCAGTATATTTCAAATTAGTTAGTTGAAGCGGAGGAATTCATCGAGTCTATTTTATGATTGAAAAGTACCGCTTAGATGAGATCTACAATGCAAGATGGTGGTGAGATCTACAATGCTTTATGGCGCTGAGATCTACAATGCTTTATGGCGCTGAATGTTGCCTTTTAAAAGAGAAGTATAAAACTAAGTCAAATGACGCTTAGATGAGAATGCTTAGGTGGGTGAGTGACTTGACCCTTGGAGAAAAAATGCGAAATGAATGTATCTATGAAAGGGTTGGTGTAGGTTCAGTGGCAAACAAGATTAGAGAGAGTCGTCATAGTTGGTTCGGTCAAATTAGACGCCGACCATCTGATGATCCAGATAGGAGATAAGATGTTTTGGATTCGACTTATGTTAAGAAAGGTAGAGGTTGGCCTAAAATGACTTGGGCGTATTGTATAAAAAATGATCTTAATTTATTAGAATTAAATGAAAATATGACACTAACTGTGACATAATGGAGAAAAAGGATTCATGTAGCCGACCCCACTTAGTGGGATAAAGGGTTGTTGTTGTCGTTGTTATTGTTGTATTTATTTTACATTGGTTTATGGTCTCATGAAACATCATGGTTATTTAGCAGTGGCAAACGGACTAGGTTCAAACATTAACTTGGCAATTATTTCCAACTAGACTAATTATGTATGAGATGTCGAAGATAATCTTGCTGGGGGAGGGAGTGGAGAAATTTTTTTAGCACAACTAGTTCTGGGTTTTTTTTTTTAATTTATTTTACGTTTCATATCATTGAATATCACGAATCAGTTGATTCCATCCAGTTGTGCGTAAAAGTATACATTGGTAGGAAAGTTTTACTGTGATTAAACTAAGAATATTCTGATGGACATGGGCTAGAACTAGTACTTTTGTATTTTGATATAAAGGTGTGATAATAATAGTCCGAATTTGTAACCCATTTCAATTGACTTCAATCCAAACCTTTTGAAGCAGAATTTTCGAGATAGGCTGCTTGACTTGAAAGCCTATTTCAGTGTAGATTAGGATGTTACAATTGTTAGATTAAATTCCAATTTGAGATGACTTGAAATTCTTATAAATTTTTACATCTTATGCAAGTATGACAAACTATTAGTTGGTCATTTGATTGGTATTTTAAAATGAGAAAACCGACCAATTTGATTGTCTTACTATTTCTGGATGTTCATTTCGACACCATAATTTTCTTAGCTCAATTTATTCCTAGAACTAATCAAAAGAGTCACGTTGAGACCAAATAGGTTGCATTGAAAGATCAAAAATGTTAAATTTTGATAAGTTAATTGAACAAATTGAAGAATAAATAAAATACAATGTTAGAATAAATATTCCATAAGTAGTTTGAGTATCAATTTGGTTAATATCACATTTTGAAATGCTTGCAAGTGGGTATGGGATTAATCTCTCTTTTAAACAATTTCTTATCATTTTTATTTTGATTAAACCTGGAATTGATTTTATGGCAACTCATTATTGATTGAATTCAAGTTTAGCTTGCTCAAGTCTAAATTAAATTGATTTTGAGTCTAGCCCTGATAATTCCAAGTTTAAGTGACTGGACTCATAACAATCTTAGGGATATTAGAGAGATTGTGAGAGTATCATTTTCTGAAATAAAATGATGAATAATAGATTTGTGGTTTGGTTTTTTACTGAACGATAGGATTAGGGCAACAATATTAATCAAAATTCAAAGCTGTGCAGACTTGTTTGAATTTTAAGTTGCTTTGAAATTGATTCGTCTTTTGAAGTTGAGTCATGAGTGATATCATTGGCTTGGATAAGATTCAAACCAATTATGAGCTCATGGCGATTCATGTGAAATGTGATTCCAATCAACTTGATCAAAATTTTATTATATGTACATAAAAATTAGATTTTATTATTTAAAATATTTTTTTATATTCATTTTCTTTTGAAAGAATGATATTTACTTGAAAATGAAATATCATCATATATTTTTTTTTGTTATTTAGTTTTTATCCATTTTAAGTGATCAAATTCTTATTAAAAATAATGTCTTCTGAGTTGTTTTACATTTTCTTAGTCAACTCAACATTTCGAGTAGTCTGGAGTTTGATTCAGTTTGAGCCAGCTCCATTCGATCTGTAGTTCAATTTTAAGTGAGGTTGAAGTCAAAATTTTGAGTTTGGACCGAGTCAAAGTTTCTCAAACTGGACGTAAACTCTCCCTTAGCAAATGATGCATTGATAAGACAAGTAGACAAGATTGATAGGGAAGGATTGTGATTAAAAATAGGTAAACCTGAAGTATGGCAGTGAAGGATTGCTCCGGAAAAAAGAGGGTAAAATAGAGTGGATGCTGAAGGAAAGGAGAAAGATTATTGCTATAAACAATCACTAATATTTAGGATAAATCCAAAGTTTTTTATGATGGTTTATCAATTTGATGCTGTCCATGCAGCTTTGTTCATGTAGCCTCGACCATTTTCATTTATTTCCTTCGTTTTATTTCAAAGTATTTTCATGTCATGACTAGCAAGACTTCGTATAATGGGATTATTTGCTCAACACTATCTTTCTTATTCTTCGGTTTCTCCAAATTTGTTCAAGCATACTAGAACCTGGTTATAAGACTTAACCACCTTCTGCATACAGTGGTCTAACTCCTCAATCAAAATCTCAACCAAGGAGTGCTTCAGGATTTTCTTTCAGATCTGAGGAGCGTGCAGAGAAAAGGAAGGAGGTTGGCTGAAATTAATACCTGCATATGGTTGATTTCATTTAGAAGCTCTCTTACTTTTATGTTCTGGAAATTGGAACTAATGTGTTTGTTCTCCAGTATTTTTCCAAGCTGGAAGAGAGGATTAATGCAAAAGAATTGGAAAAAACTAACATACAAGCAAAGTCCAAGGTGGGATTTTCTTCTTTTCAATTTTGTGAGGTTGTGGCATTCTCATACTTGATTACTTGCCATGTGTGGCAATTAACCAGGCCTTGCAAATGACATGATACAGGAGAACCAAGAGGCTGAAATCAAGCAGTTGAGGAAGAGTTTGACCTTTAAGGCTACGCCAATGCCTAGTTTTTATCAAGAACCTAGTCCTCCAAAAGTTGAATTGAAGAAGGTATCTTTAATTTTCTCATTCTTTGTTTCTTCCTTTATGAAGTGCGCTTTATTGTAAATATGCCGTTGTGCCTTTGTTAATGGAAATAGGATCCGACAAGATGACATTAATAACTATTTCAACTGATTTTATAGTTTTTATTCATCTTTTCATGATTAGGTTACAATTCCCTTCCCAATAAGGTTGAATAACATATTCTTCTGGGATTTGAGGTTTGTTCCTCATGTGCCATGTAGGGAGTTTGTATAAATATTGCATTGGGAGGGCTAGGAAATTGTTTGGCACCCTTTTATATATATATATATATATCTTTATTATTTATTTTGCCTTTTTTTTTTTTCCGTTCCTTCCTACGGTTGGTGATGTTAAAGATTGGCATTCTGCTAAAATTCATTATGAATTTTACAAATGAATTTACTGATTTAAAGACGCTGCTGATCCAAGCTTCAAAACTTCACGATGACGCCCAGGTGATGCAATAAACATATTCTTACTATTGCAAATCATGAAATAGTGAAAGTTTAAAAATTTCCGGAAAAAATGTCAAAAAAGTTCGGATGGGAAAAGGCAATGGTTTTCTTTCTTGGCCACGCATTTGCGTGATGCTGCATAGCAGCATTTCTCACTTTCGCAAAATGTTAACAGTAGTAATTCATGTAGAACTTTGTTGAAATGTTATTGTGGCTTGTTTTAGAGTTGGCCTTGAGGGAGAAACGGAAATACTGGTGTTAACGTGATTATAGAAAAGAAATCGATGTCACTATTGTTAGGGTGATTACGGGAAAGGAATCAAAGGCATTAATATCATTGATATGGTGTTAATAACATTGATTCTATAGGCGGAAATTTAGTATGTAAATAGGAAGATTTTTAACTCTTAATTTACGTCTCTTTCCTATTTTAGTCTTAGGCTTCTTGTATGACTACCAGGCTTTTTGTACAATTAGAAGACAAGAAATATAAATTCTCTTTATCATTGTTAACCGGCAAAGAGACCAGTGATCTAAAGATGTTTTGGAAGCCATTGTGGTGTCTTGAGACTTTGAGTCATCAAGTTTCACATGAATCTCTTTTACTTAGAAGCACGTTATCTATGCTATGTTGGGTTCTCGAAACCAATATGCTATGATCCATTTTGATCTCCTCTTCTTTTCTTTAACAGATCCCTCCAACAAGAGCTCGATCCCCAAAACTCGGACGGCACAAGCCCTCTAACACTGCAACTAACAATTCTTCCGAAGGTAATGACTCAACTCAAACCCCCCCTGAGTCTGACCTCATCCCAGTCAAGCAGAATGGAGTAGTTACTCTCAAGAAAATTGCTACACAGAAGCCGATTTCAAGACCTCCTCCTCACAAATCACCTGCTGCTAGACCAGAAACTAAAACCACTGCTCCAAAGATTAAACCTTCAAACATAAAGCAAAAGTTGGAAAAAGAAAAGACAGAAGAAGGCGATAACGAAGTAGAACATGAGGTGAAACCTGCCGAAGGGTCTCCTGCAGATGTGGTCGCTGCCAAAGTCATCGAGCAAGGTTCCTAAAAACCATTGGGAGGTGAAAATGTTTTTTTTTTCTTGCCATTCGGTCGTTCGAGTGCTGAAGCTTGAGTAATTTTCAATCGTCCTCTTCTTTCTCCCGCCTGTTTGGCGCTCACATTTGTGAATAGCTTAGATGAATTCTCCTTTAAGAAGCGTCTGATTGCTTGTTTTGTCACCTGCATCTCATTCCCATGTTTGGTGGAGTAATGAATGTCTTCCCCTTTTGCTGGACAATATTGATTGCCCTGGATTTGTATATTTATTTGATCTCTGTTTTACACCATACGTCCAGGTTGCCTATTTTTGGGGCATTTACATAAATACTTGTCACGTCATATGTTCTTACATATCTAATACCTAAACTTTGCTTTTTTCAATGCCAGCCAAATCTTTCATATCGCACAAAAAATATCACTATTTTATCATTTAAAAAGTGAAATACACCTTTTTATGCATAGGTAAGGTGTGGTAGTTGTAAAAACTAAACTTTAGGTTTTAGGTATGCAAATACATAAGAATTATATATCTGAATCTTACCTTTTTTTGTATATCAAACTTTTGTGGTTGCCAGTGGTAGTAAACCGAATCAGAATTCAAAAATAGAATTTGTTTGATTCTATGTTTTTTTAGATATTATTTTTAGGGGATGAAGGATTTACATACAGATCAAATAGTTTTTACGTTTTTAGAAGTGTAATAACTAGATTTTGATATTTATTTACTTAACATGCAAATATGGAACATTACATAAAAATGTCACTAGTAGTAACTTATCAATAGTAAAATTCACATTAATACATTTATTTTGTTCTAATTATGACGCTGAAATGTCTTGTAAGTTAATATTGAAATTTCGGTTTTTTAATTTGTGCCACATAAAATTTATGTTCTATGTTTGAACTTGTTTTCCAATATCTGGATCATATGTTTGTCCTTCAGATATTAACGAGATATAATATATCATTTGTGTAAGAATTGCACACGTATTTGTGATTAAAATCAGTTTATCATCACTGATAAAATGAATGATATATTTTAGTTCTCAGAATGTGCCTGTTAAGTCTTTATCTAGCTAGGTGGGTCGGCTATGTTCTAATAAATTAAGATGATTTTTTAAAATACATGTTGATGCCTAAAATTATTGTGAGGCAAGCCGGTCAATTATGCAAGTATGTCTTTTGTTAGAGGATGGATTAATCAAATGTTTGCTCATTAAGAAGCTCAATCTCATTGAATTTGCTGGGCATTTAGAATGCTGAGAAATTGTTTGTCATGATGATGATTCTTTAATATGAAACAATAGGTGCCATGATAAAAGTAATAGTTGATTCTGTTGTTGATCTTGTTGCAACATAATATGATTTTCAGATAAAATTTGGATCATACTACATAGATTAATAGTTGTGGGTTTATATCTTAGTGTAAAATAACAATAAGCTGATAAAATTTTAATCTCTTGAGATGAGTTGTTAAGGAGTAGTGGATTCTATACCTGATGTGGGATAAAATAGTTGTATTGAGAAGATTGTTGTAGAACTATTAGTTGAATTTTGAGATAGTTTATTGTTAGAAAGGAATACACTTTTAAATTTTGACAAAATTTTGAATATTATTGATGCCTGTAATGATTATAAGCTACATAGCTATACCAGCTACTTTTAAAATGAAACATTCATTATTGATTTTCTACTATTTTACTTACTTTATTTAATTATTTATGGATGAAAAATTATAAATAGAATTCAATCTAATGCCCAAAGTTGGATGCATACATTTTCATAGCTTATATGTAACTATGTTGTCATGATTAATTACAATCAATTTGGTGCATATCATATATCCTAGCACTTTCCTTCACATGTAGTTTTGTCAATATGTTTGTTTCATATACATACGTGATCTAGGAAAATCAATAGCAATCTCTTTCTGTTTTTACTCAATAATAAGCAATGATTGCAACAAATGGCTAAGCTATTGATGTTCCAATTTCACCATTTTAGAAGCTTCACACTTGGATGCAAGCATTTTTATGTACATAAAAATTTTGTCCACCAAAACATATGTTTAAGATAATGACATATATTGTTGCTCTTCAGGTGAATATGATATCTAAAATAATGAGTTTTCTGCAAAATCTCTCTTTACTATTTAACATTATTTGGGGACACAGAATGAACTCCACAAGTTTGTCATTCCCATTGACTTTTAATGCTGATATGTTTTTTTTTTTTTTTTTTTTTTTTTTTTTTTTTTTTTTTTTTTTTTTTTTTTTTTTTTGAGATTACAAAATTTTAGAATTTTAGGTGAGGGCAAATGGTTGTAAATGTTTGTGAGAAGTTAACTTAGATGCATACTGATGCGTGCTAGAAAATTCGTGGTGGTAGAGTAATGAATTATCGTCTGAATTATCGTCTTAGCGTTGCATTATCGTCTTAGCGTTGCACGAGAATTCAGCATACACTCAGATAAAAATGAATCAAGCTGTGATCAGACCAGAAGTTTTAACGTGGAAAATCTGTAAAAGGGAAAAACCACGGGGCCTGACCCAGTTGTAAAAATCCACTATAAGTTGATGATTACAGATGTCATTTGTCCCACAGGCGGGAAAGGGTTACTAGTTTTTCACGTTATAACGTCGACTGATGACGTCTAGTAAGCGGTGGTTGACGGAGGTCAGCGGTGAATAACGACAGTCAATGATGATCGGCGGTAGTTGACAGGTTAACGGTGATCGGCGACGTTCAACGGTGGCCAGCGGTGGTTGACAGAGGTCGGCGGTTGTTGTCGACTGTCAGTGGTGGTCGACTGCGATCAATGATGGCGAGGATAATCTTGGACTTGAGCTCCTTCATAAAGCCTCCAGTTCTCACTTAAGCATTCTCTCTTTCATGTGAGGGGTGATGCTCTATTTATAGTGTTTTTAGTGCAATTAATGCAGGAGTATGAACTATTTTGATCGGACGGTCCGAAGAGCTTTCTTTGATCAGATGGTGTTTGATGGACATTTGAGTGTCTTAACGATGTCAGAATTGAGCAATCTTGGTCTCGTTGGATTCGTCATGTCGAGACTCTCGATTCGACAATGAACTCGCTAGATTCGACATTTGTTTGACCTTTCAAATGCCTCCAGAAATCCTCTAATAGTGGTTTAATGATTTTATTCGGGCTTGATTTGACTCGGATTGGACTGACTTTCATATCATTAGGTTCGTCTCATCGAGCCGATCAATTTGATTATAAGTTTGTTGAAATCGGAGCTCTGGATGACTCTTAATCGAGGTTTGAATATTCGTGCTCAAAATATTGAAATTCGTGTCGGATTATGATAAATTGTTGATCACGTATCACATACTTATTACATGGACTAAATTGTTAGGTTTAGTAGGATTTAAGTGGAGTAGAGGAGTAAGAATAAAATTTGGTCATTACATTGCTTAGTTTGTTAGTTTGACTGAAAGTTATACATAGTAATTTTGATTGGTTATAAGGCGTAGGTTTGCTGATTGTCGGTCTTAAAAGATGCTCAAGATATAAAGGAAGTAAGTGGAGTAATTAATTTTAGATAAAATAGAAAACCACCGAATCACATCAAAGAAAAAGATAACATTTGAATGCATTAAACAACGATCAAATGAAGATTAACTCTCCACTAAAATACATCATTTTTAACTCAAAATTTCAGCATATATTAGACCTTATAATGCTCCTCTATAAGGTGACATATTATATAAAGTATCAATGAAATATTAAAATAAAATTTCATTTGAATAGTTTGATTGTTAGGCCTTATAATCGAATCTTATTCATGAATGTGTTCTTACTTGCCCTTTTGCTCTTGGTCGTATAAGATGTTCAACTAGTTGATTTAAATTTTGTACTTGACATGTGAAATTACTCTTGTTGATATACTTTGATCACATAATTATTCACATTCTTAATGGGCCTTCTAGCTTTCTAAATCCTCTCATGTAGATAGGGGTGTAAACGAGTTCGGCTCGTTTATATTTCGAGCTCAAAAAGTGTAGACTAGCCTCAACAATCATTAAAAGATTATCGATGGACTCACCCATATTCTCTAATCAAGGATTTCGAGGATTTTCATATTGATTAGGTGACACAAAGCTCAGTATCAAATCCAAAGCCAATACCAACCCTTCTGTCTTGATTTACGATGAACATAAAAGATTGTCAATGGACTCACCCATATTGAAATCAAGCCAACCATAATTAGCTCATCAAAAATCATAGAGTGAGCCAAACCAATTCTTAGTGATCTTGTGAGAATCATTGAAGCAAGTTGAACACTTATTTAAATTAAATTTCTAAGAAACTTGGCTTAACTATTGAACCCAAAAGTCAGGTCAATCAAACTCAAATTGAATCAAATGGTGCAGTTAACTCAAATATGAGTGGAACCAATAATTCACTAAAGCTCCTCAAATCAAAATAAAGTGAAACCAAACTAAACCAAATAATATTTTAAACTAAACTAAGCATAATTAAATTAAAGTTGAAACTGATTGGGCCTAAATTAGGCTAGTGGGCCTACTTGGCCCATATGACCTTCTACATCAAATTAAGGAGGAAACTTTTGGTGTTTAGAAGAAGAAATGAGCCAATTAATTTGTAAATCAATATTAATATAATTAAATATAAAATGGAGGGAAATTGACTTAAAATTAGTGAAGTCATTTGCTTGGCCCATCTAACTCATTTAAATTATGATGAACCAAACTGAAATATAGCACAAATTGAATCAAATTAATCAATTTTGAATTTTTAAATCTTAAACAAAATATAACTAGAGGCTGATTGGGTCACTGGACCCAAGTTGCTCTAATTAGGTCACCTCACATCGAGTCAATTCCAAATTAAATCAGAATTAATCGAAGCTAACCATTCTAAAACTTAAAAGCACTGATTACGTCCAATTAAATAGAAATTAAGTCCAATTGAAGTCCAATTTGGCCAATTGAGTTACTTGACCCAAATAAACCATATTGGCCCAAAAAAAAAAAAAAAAAAAAGAATTGGATGTTCCAAATGTATAAAATCTCTAATTGAAAATATTTGAATAAAAGTTGCCCTAATTAAAGTCCAAGTTGACCAATTAGGCCAGTTTGACCCAAATGAACCATATTGAGCCAAAATCAAATTAATCATTCTTAAAGTTATAAATTAATTAATCAAGCATAACCCAACCATCATTGAGGGCCAATTTGGCCAATTGGCCCACTTAGGTTCTGTTTGGGCTGGTTATTTGGCGTGGTGTGTCTTGAAACGTGGGCTGAAGCATTTGAAACAATAGCGCGACCGCTTACCTTAGTAATTTATGTTAAATGCGCGTCACAGGTTTGTACCCTCAGCTTGAATTTTCTCACGACACTTATTACATTCATGTATCTACCTCAAGCACTTATTACATTCAAAACAATTGATGCTTTCGAGGAGTGGTGGACAGAGAGATTGGCGGCAAACATTTTTGAAATGTCCCCCTTGTTGTCAATTTTTAATTTATTTTCAAATCCAATAACATGTTATATGAATTTTTAAGTGGTGTCTGCTACAAAAATAAATAAATTAATAAAGTGGAATCGATTCTGAGCTAGAGGAGAAGTTGAATTGTTTGTTTCGAAGTGTCTTGACAACGAGCAACAATGTGTGTGCCCCTAGTGAGACAGGTTTTAATGCATCCCTAGGAATTTGGGATTTGATCAATCACGTGATTTCATTAAATGCTCGAGCCAGGACCTCCCTGAAGTTGAGTCCACAAGCTTGTCAAACCATCCTCGGGTTGAAATAAAAAAGAAACTGCTTTCTTTAGAAGTGAGAACTCACATTTGGTGGCTTCATGCACCAATGCCACCGACCCATTACAAGCAACTTCTGTTCAACCGATTATGTGAATTTTGGATGCAACTCAATAAATTTACGAAGACATGTCGCTGCAACTATGTTTCCAATTTACTTGAAAATTCGAGTCGAAATGTTTCTTTATGAAGTTGCTTGAAAATTCGAGTCGAATAGATTTTTTTGTAACGATGTCTGCTGTCTGTAGGGCGACTTACCTGCATTATTTTCATGAGAGCAGCGACATTTGAGGGATACTTTTTTTTTTAATTCTTGCTGGAATTTTTTATTTGATTATGGTTTTTCAGAATGCTTTGGATATTTATGTTTGTTTGAACATGTCACTTTACTTGAGAGTTTTTCATTCCCCGTTATGTTTCCAATTTACTTTTTTAATGTTATTTACTTATTTTAGTTTTATTTGTAACCTTATATGATTATATTTAATTCATTGATGTTTATGTTTTAGCCACTTCAATACTGAAATACATGGATGCAACTAGAGAAAGACACAGAAGGAGAGTTGCGGTTGTAGTATGCATGATGTACGCATATTATAACTCATACATAGAGCGCTCTCCTTGCATGATAACCTCATATGTTGGCGATAAATGGGTTGCGGAGTTACTTGTTGGCCACCCAACGATATTTAGCAATATATTTCAAATGACGCAGACGCTATCACCGATTTATTGGAGGAACTACACTGAAATCATGAATTTCATGGCTCATCGAGAACAACTTCACAAGAGGTGTCGACAATAACCATCTACATATTATCGCAGAATGAATCAATGCGATGAGTTATAAAACAATTTCACCACTCTTCTAAAACGATTTGCAGATATTTCTCAGTAATGTTAAATGCATTTATTAGTTTTTCCTTACAAGTCATAAAACCAATATATTCTACATTCGAATAGAACCCCACAGATTTCGCATGATGCGCGGTTTATGTCGTACTTAAGGTAATTTATTTTATTTATGACATTAAAATTTAATATAAATATTATAAGTATGTAACCCTTCGTTATTTTTCTAAAATTGTATTGAAGCAATTGATGATACACACGTTAATGTATGCATTCAAATAATGAGAAGTTCACATTCATCGGTCGTTGTGTGCCCCCGACACAGTGTCATGACAGTATGCGACTTCAACATGTGCTTCATTTTTGTTATGGTCAGTTGGGAGGGCAGTCCACATGACAGTCGAATATTCAAATATGCAACACATAATAATAAATACAACTTCTCACATCCACCCACAAGTTCGCTTGAGACTAAGCAACTCTCCTGATTCTTTTTCTTTCAACTTTATTAATTTAATTCACATACAGTAAATATTTTTTGGTAGATGCTAGTTATCTGTCGTAGCAAGGGTATCTTAAACCATATCCTGATACGAGATACCACATACTTGATTTTGAACGACAACAATGTCGCATGGTGCAAAAAAGAAATGTTCAACAAAAGACATTTATCCTTAAGCAGTGTCATGGAGAGGACATTTGGCGTTTAGAAGAAAAAATGACTTATACTTAGTGATATGTCATCTTACTCGTTAGATGTGATTGTGAATGTCATGATGGCTCAGTTACATCATTCCCGCAACAACATCTACTTTTGTAGGGAGGACAAAGATCATGAATATGTCCCTGTTGAGGCATATGAGTATCAACTTGGACAGTCTTTATCACAGGCCGAAATGTTGCTCCCGAGATCTGCACTAAAGACATGGAAGGTGCAAGCGAGAAGACAGAGTTGAGAGAATGAATTACAAATGTGATAGTTGGAGAGTGTTTTGACGGAATGTTAGTTTTTATCATTTTATTAATTATAATGGTTGTTGAAGACATTCACTAGTTATTGTGCTTGTATGTTATATAGTTTATTTTTATTTATGTTCCTTATACTTTTGATATTTACTATTTTAATTTTTTACGCAATTTGTATGTGTTTTTTTTTTCTTTTTTTTTCTTTTGGTGGGGTTTGGAGGCTATGATGAGACATTTAACTATATGTGTTCTTTTGGATAGCTGTATATTGCTATTGGTTGGTATCACACGTGAAAATCTAATGAAAGCAACCAACTTCTTCTTTTTTTTTGGTGTAACGGTTTTTTAGGTTCTTTTGGATGGTCTTTTTTTTATGATATGCATATATGACACACATGACATTGGTATTATGTGGGTTAAAGACAACTAAGAAATTTTTTTATAAGTTAGGTTTTCTTCTTATAGTGACATATTCGTTAGTTTGTATACTGAGTTCTATGAGACCTCATAAGTGCATAAAATTATTATTATCATATTATTAATTGTTATTTTAATAGTTTTTTTTTTAATTTAGTAGTCATATTACTCATTGTTAAGTGAGTGTCTATCTATATTTTGTAATGTTCTGCACTGAATATTTTCTTTTAAAGTATAGAATGTACTGGTATGAACAGTTCTGTTGTAAACAACATTAATATACAGGAGTAGAATAGTCATTTGTCCAGAAACAATTGCAGCACCGTTGTTTTCAAACTGCAAAAAATAAACTGACATTCAGCTTGCCCGTAACAACATCTGCGCAACAGTTTTCCGTGACAGCTGTTACGCAACAACTTATTATTAAGCTGCAGCTGTCCCGAACAAACCCTTAGCTCATTCAAACCAAATTGACCCATATAAGGCACATTGAGTCAAACACAACCAAACTAAGCAAACTTATTAAGTTCTTATTGGTCCACCTAGGGGTGAGCATTTGGTCAGTTCAGATGGTTTGGTTTTCAAATTAGGCAAACCGACTTCAACCAAAATTCAAAGTCCAAACTACCGAACCAAACAACATTTTGATAAAACCGAACCAGTCAAACTAAATTTTACTTCGGTTTAAACAATTTAGCTTTACATAAATCGAATTATAGTTTAAATGTATAAGAGAAAATGAAAGTTATTAAGCGAGGATTATGTAATGTTGATAACTAAAAAATTTTATTTATAAGCATTGCAAGGAAGATTTATCTAGAAAAAATTCGGTCTTCACTTCATTTAGTTTAAGAAGAAGTAAAACTGAACCTTAAACTGAAAACCAAATTTCAATATTTTTAAAATCATAACTGAAGTTTTTTAAAAAACCGAACCGAATCAACTAAATTGACTCGGTTGGGTTTGGTTTTTGGATTTAAACCAAATAATTCATACCTATAGGCCCACCCAAATGAGCTTGACCCAATGTAAACACTACTTGAGTTGTAACAATTATGTCCAAATTTGTTATTCTTATACCATGTTACCTTGGAAGAGTGACATCCTACTCTTAGTTTGATTAAATATTGATATACTGCGGCTACTTATTCCAAAATTTTAATTTGTTTTAAAAATAGGATTCAAACTAATTATGATTATAGAATTATTAAAATTATTTTAGTTTTCTTTGTTAGTCATAATTATATTAACTATAAGCATTAAATTATCAAGTTAATAATTATTATTCGGAACTTAACTAATTAATTGTCAATTTTTATTTTATTTTAATTATTTACTATAAGATAATGTCTTAATTATTCTTTAGCAAAATACTAAAGTTATTAACTAATTTTTTTAGTTTAATCTAATCAAATAACATTAATGTTAATTTAATTAAGTAAACATTTTTAAATTTTTTAACTTTAATCATTAACAATAATCGACTTTTTTTATAAATTTTAATTACACCAATTAAATTATAATTAAAATAATATAACATTTATTTATTTATCTATTATAAATTTTTAAATTTAATTAAACATAATTTTTTTACTCAAATTAGGCCTTAAGAACTATCACTTATTTAATTAACTATACTTTAATTGAGGCGCATTTACCTACATGCCACTCCATTCCTATTTATTTGCAAATCCAAAACCTAAACTTTATTTTTACAATTATACCACCCAAATCTTTCGTACCATATAAAAAATATCACATTTTATAATTACAAAAAAGATGATATATGCATATATGTAAAAATGAAAGTTCAGGTATTAAATACATAGGAATTGAGTGGCTTGAGTGTAAAATCTTCCTTTAATTAATTAATACCAACGGGCGTCTTCCCCTTCCTTTCGCTCCCTTTCCTCCTCTCTTCCGCTTACTTTCTTCCTCTCGCACGCCAATCACTCGACCAAACGCGGAGGTAGCGACGGGAGCTTTCTGGCAGCATCAACTGGATTGAGGCAGCGTGAAACCCTCGTCTTTCCCCCCTTTGCTCCCACCCGAAACCCTAGAGGAAAACGAAGAGAGGAATTCGGACGGGTGTTTGCTGGCGAAGGTATTGAATGCATTCTCTTCCCTAACCCGTTAAATTCTTGGAAATCTTGGTTTCCTAAATCCAGGATTTAGTCGGAAGGAGATTTATTTAAATTTCTTGTGATTTAAAATACATATTTCGACCGGTTGGTAGGATTTACGCTAAATCCTGTGTAAGTTCAAGTTAAATCGAGCTACGCATCCGGGTGCATGTGTGAGCTAAAAAAAGGGGAGCATTCAAACAGCCCTTTAATCTTGAGTAGGAGGGAGAAACAGGAGTGAGCACAGCTGTATGATTTACTCACCTGTTTGGCAAGATTTAAACAAAAGGTTGACTAATTCTTAGTTAAAATTTGTAAACCCCCAATGAAAGGTTGGTAGAGCCGTTGGAGCTATTGAAGCGGACCAGGTGTTCGTCACTAATAGGCAACATGGATGCCGCTGCGAATGGAATTGTCAGTGAAAGGTGCCGGCGATGGGGCTGGGTGGCGGCTGCTCTGTTTGCAGTCCTCCTGGCTACGACAGTGATTCCAAGGCAAACCTTCTTTAGAAATTCAAAGAAGGCCTGCGAGTTAGTGGTGCTTTTTCTGGAGACTTTCTTGAATTAGTTCAGATTTGCTTCATTTTATTATTGTAATCTTGATCGGGAAAATTGGTTTGCAGGACTCTAGAAAGTATAAGGGCATCGTGGAAGACTGTGCTTGTGGTTATGAAATTGTGGATTCTCTCAACGAGAAGGTGTTGCATCCCATTCTACAGGAGCTAGTCGCCACACCCTTCTTCCGGTATTTCAAGGTAATTCTTTTGACTCAAGTTTTTTTTTTATTTTTTTTTATATCATATTTTTATGTTGATTTGTTGCTATTTTTGGGAGTTCTTTATGATAAAAATGGCTGTTTATGTTTATTTTGTAGTTTAGGGCTTAAAAATGTTGAATTGAGCTTTCACTTGTTGGGGAGGTTTATTGGTGGATTTAACTTAAATCATCACAAATGTTTATTTGGGACATTTTAAATCCTCTGACTTACAAAATCTGGTTTTCACCCATTTTCAATGTCAATCTTAGATATAATAAATATGATTGTAATGCGGATTTATTAGGATTTAGCAGAGAGAAGCAACAAAGGGGGAGAAATGGGAATGACTGCTCGCTTGCAAGCATCTATCATGACTTCTAATCTTGCTAACAAATGCCAACGCTGCTTTTCACTGTGAGGAAGACAATGAACACAACTTCTTCGTCTAGGGTTTTAGGTAGGAGAGGATTTGGGAGAGGAATAGAAGGGTTTCAAATCAGGCATCAATTATAGAGAAATATTAAACCCAATTAGTTAATTATATTAAATTAGAGTATTTTGGTCATTAATTATAGAGAAATTTAAATAAGGTAAATTAAATTATTTTTCATGTAATTTGTTTAACTAAAAAAATTAATTTTTTGATGAAATTTATAATTTATTAAAAAATAATATATAAAAATAGTTTTTTATAAAAATTATTTCCGATTTAATTCAATGAAGTTGATGTTATTATTTTAATTAGTTTAAATTACTCATTAATTAAGGCTTAATTAGTATATATTAAAGTACTATTTATTATTTAATTAGTTTAGTCGAATTATAATTAATAATTAGTTAAATAAGTAAATAATTAATTAATAATAATACAAATATTAAAGTATTAATTAATGATACACTTGGTATAGCAATTACAATTAATATAGAATTTACCAAATGAGTATTTTGTTGTGCTTGCTTAATATTTTTCAAACATTTTTGACAAATATTATTATTTACCTTCTAACTAAGTTTACAAACTTAAATCTTGAAATAATCTGTCAAACATTTTAACAAAATTTAAACCAGATTTAATAAATCTGAAACAATTGTTTATATTCAATCATTGCAGGTTTTATTAAATCCGGATTTATAGGATTTACTAGATTCTACTAAGCTAAATTTCGGAAGTTGCCAAACAGCCCCTTAGAGTATTTTGAATATGTGAATGAAGCAAGTGGATATTGTTTTGTTAATCTTTACCTTGAACTTTTTAATGATTCACGAATGTTAGAAATAAAAAAAACATTGATGATGATGTTCCAATTGTATGGAGCTTCATATAAATCAGGTGCAACTATTATCACATAATTAAGAGGATGGCATGATAGACTAAATAAAAACAAACGAAAATGTCTCAAATGTAGATAATAAAATCCAATCAAATATATTTTTTTACCCTTCAAGCATCCATATTTATTACAAAATGAAAATGTTAGGAATCTATTTCTCTGAGCTTCACTAATTTTTTTTTTTTTTTTCGTGGATTTCTCTGAGCTTCACTAATCTAATTTTTTTTTTTTTTTCGTGGTGAATATTATGTATTCAATACTTCTTAGGATAATCTAGACATAGTTTTTTTTTAATTATCTTTTTAATAGCCAGTTAAAGTGCGAAGTTCAATAACTTTAGAGGGAACGCTACTATTTACGTACACTTCCAAACGACATGCTTATCCGTGTTAGACATGTGTCAGATACATGCATGGCTCATACATGCCTCAACACATCTTTGCTACTTTAGAATTTGTGTCAATATTTTTTAGTTTGAAATTGGACTTCGACAGTTACCAAACAAGGCAGGGACGATAAACAGGTGTGATATTGGCAAGAAAAAAATCAAAATAGCTGAAATTAGAATTGAAACTTGCAATGGAAATAATACCCATAATATTTTGTATGCTAGTCGCCAGAGTCATCCTCAATACAACAGTGTAGTCCCCTTTTCATTTTGCATCTCCACCTCTTCATTTAAATGAAATCACCTCACTTCTCCACTTCTTTGGCAATCATCACGCGTCTCTACCTTTTCCTCTTTAACACCTGTTTTTACCAGGCTATATGAATTGGAGTTTTCGTATTCCTAGGAATTTTGTATCAGAAGTTTTCATGCTATTCGTATATTTTTATTTTCTTTTCTGACAGTTCTTGCAAATTGCTAATCGTGCACTTATTTCATTTTCTTATTATAAATTCTCGCTTTTAGAAAAGAAGTTCTTTTTATAAATCTAGGATATCTTTCAACCTTGGACAGGTTAAATTGTGGTGTGATTGCCCATTTTGGCCTGATGATGGGATGTGTCGTCTTCGTGATTGTAGTGTTTGCGAGTGTCCTGATAATGAGTTCCCAGAGCCATTCAAGCAGCCCTTTGTAGGGCTTTCAACCGATGATCTCATTTGTCAGGAGGGGAAACCAGAAGCTGTTGTGGACCGCTCACTTGATCGAAAAGCTTTTAGAGGGTGGGTCGAGATTGACAATCCATGGACAAATGATAATGAAACAGATAATGGTAATTTATCACAGCACCATGTCATTTATTTTTTTGGGAAATTTGCATACCTACACAATTTTAATGCATTTACTTATCTTACACCTAAACTTTCATATTTACGTAAGCACTTAGGTGCTTTTAATCTATGCATGCACGTGTATTTGACTTTTAAAAAGAGATAACAGTGCTATTTTTGATGTGATATTAAATATTTGAGTGTAATTGTGTAAATATGAATGTTTAGGTGTGAAATATGTAAATACATAAGCATTGTGTGCTATTTATGTAAATGCCCCCCTTTTTTAGGATTTCTATTATTATCATGGCTTTTCTAGTATGAAGATTTTTTTCTGTTTTATTCTTTGGCAGCTGAGATGACATATGTGAACCTCCAGCTAAACCCTGAACGCTACACCGGTTATGTAGGCCCGGCAGCTAGAAGGATATGGGATGCTATTTACACTGAAAACTGCCCAAAATGTGAGTTCTATGCAATTTGTGCTGGTGTATATTATCATTCTTCAACATTTTTTAAACTTATGTCATGAAAAATATTTGGACATTGTTTGAATGATAAGCTCTGTGCATGTATACAAACATATCTTTACTCGTTATGAATATCAAAGTAAATTTATTTTATTGATATGAAGGAGGAAATCACACAAATTTTGAATTCTTGTCACTGTAATTAAGATTAATTTTGGTGCATCGATAATTGGCTTTGATTTTTAAGCTTGTAATACATGTAGGGAAGTAGAAAATCGTGCTCACTCTCTCTCTTTAAATAGAGGCCTAACTCATGCAAATTAGTGGGGAAGTTCTTTGGAGAAGATAACTTTAGAAGTTTCTTAGCTGTTTTGGTTCTTTTCTGCAGCTGGAGGAATGTAGTTAGGACATTAAGGGATCACTATATTAGACTGTTAGTTTGTCAGCGTATTCATCTTTGTTTTTTTCTTAATTTCTTGAAAATGAAAATTGTACATATTAGGTCAATGCAACATAGATCAAGTTGAAGTATATGGTAGTTGAACCAATCACCTTACAAAGTTTGTGTATCCTGTCTATTGTATTTTGCTAGAAAATTATTTAATTCATTTGCAGGGATTTCATTTAAATACGAATACTTTTATTCAATCTTTTATTTGTCTTTTACCTTATGTATTACAATATTATTTTTCATTACTTTTTTGACAAATATTTATACACCATGTTTCTGTCTTCCACTCTGATATGTGACCATTCTATCACTTGTATATTTGTTCCTACATTTTTTTGGTACGCTTTGTTTGGCATATTTTTTTTGTGGAATTTTTTTTCTTACAGAAAGTATTAAGTAATGGAAGGATTTCTTCAGGTTATCTCTCCAAACTAGATTTTTTTCCCCCATTATATTCCATCTTAGTTGAGTGAAATTTCCTTTTATTAACACAAGCTTTACTTGTGCCAACATAATCTCTCTGCGGCTGCTTAAAGTTAAGAAAAAAAAAGAAAAAAAATTGATGTTTGCTTTCTTAAAATGAACAGCCATTGGCAAGGCTTGAGCTATGTGGAGAAAATACTATAATGTTGTTTATTTTGTATTATGCATAAAAAATTTTAATACTATTATTCCTTAGTATTGACTTTTGTTCTTTGCTTGTACGTTCCTTAGATTCTTCTGGAGAAATTTGCCCAGAGAAAAGAATTTTGCTTAAGTTGATTTCTGGATTACATGCTTCGATATCCGTGCACATTGCTTCTGATTATCTCCTTGATGAAGCTACAAATATGGTTCTTCTCTTAACTTAAGCTCATTGATTAGTATATATTACTTTGAAATCTACTCATTTGCATTATTGCAGTGGGGCCAAAATTTGGAGCTGTTGTATGATCGAGTTTTGAGATACCCAGATCGTGTCAGAAACTTGTATTTTACATTTTTGTTTGTTCTTCGTGCTGTAACTAAGGTAATTTTTTTTCATAGATGTTCTCCTAATTGATAGGCTCATATGGGGTCGCATTTGTGATATATTTCATAAAATTACATTCATTCTTTTAGGTGTTTTATGTCTACATCTTTATTGCCTGATCTATGGCTTCTCTGAGATATATCAGCGGACTATGCTTATGACATCTTGTTATGCCTCCTCCTATCCAAATAAAAATGAGAAACCTTAAAAAAAATGAAACCTATATTATATATATTTATATATATATATATATTGTCTTTTGATATGTGCCTTTTATGTTAAAATTTTTTAGTATTTGCTAATAGTGGGTATTTTGGCAATATGAGATTCTGCCCTTAGCTTTTTTGCTCTTTAAGATGCTTTCTCATGCTCCTGCATATTTTCTTTTATTTTCTTCATAAACTGTACAAAATTTATTTTTCATTCAACAAATTGTGATATTATATGTTAAATTTTTTTACAATTAAAAAATCTCAGGCTGCAGATTATTTAGAACAAGCAGAGTATAGCACAGGCAATCCGGATGAAGACTTGAAAACTCGGTCTCTAGTTAGGCAAATTGTTTACAATCCAGAGCTACGGGCCGCTTGCCCAGTGCCTTATGATGAAGCCAAGTTATGGCAAAATGAAAGTGGTCCTGAACTAATGCAGCAAATTCAGAAGCAATTCAGAAACATCAGGCACGCCTCTAAATATCTTTGATTATATCTGGTTCCTGAATTAACGAACTCTCGCATGTTTGACATTACTTTACTGAATCATAAAAGCACCTAAACATCTTTTATTTTTAAACATTCCGCAGTGCACTGATGGATTGTGTTGGATGTGAGAAATGCCGCTTATGGGGAAAGCTTCAAGTTCTTGGTCTTGGAACAGCATTGAAGATCCTTTTCTCTGTTAATGGCCAGAACCATGCAAATCAGCCGGTATACCTACTTTTCTATAATTTTATCTTTAATGTTTTGATGCATTAAGTGTTGGGATTTTAGTGGAGCTTGATTAAAACGGCGAAAGTGGAAAAGATTGAAGAATAGAAACGAAGATCAATGCACAAGAATTTTATATAGAGAGAAAGTGTTAAAATGATCCAATAATTTTGCAGGGAGTCTACAAAAGTGTCAATATTGTCCCCAGACATTTTAAGAGGGTCTAAAATAGTCCTTGATGGGAACTTTTTCATTTCATAAAAAATTTAAGGGGACTAATTTCGCACTTTCAGTCTTTCGTAGACTCGGGGATTAAAATAAACCCATGTAAATATTCAGGGGATCATTTTGGAACTTTATTCATTATATATATATATTCCTAATTAATGGCTACATCCTGGCGCCGTTGCAACAAATTTCATAATGCTTTTGGTTGTCCAGAGTTTCATCTGTTTTATATTTTGATTAGTTTAAACCAGTGGATAACTAAGCACGCCTTAGGAAAAAAGAACATTTCTGATAGCAACACTTTTAGGCCAAGATCCTATCCATGAATTGGATTAGCTTAATTGTCATTGGTCAAACGTCTAATTATAGCCAGCGGGGTAGGCTCGAGCTAGCATGATTGCATTGATGTAGTTATAAGTAGAGGACCCATAGAAATGGAAATTATTTTGAGGTGACAATATTGGGATTGAGAAAAGTGTTAAAATGGTCCCATGACTCTTTGCATGTGATCATTTTAATCCTAGAATTTTTATACTTGCCAATTTATCCCAAACTCTTTTAATATGGGTTAAAATAATCCTTAAGGTGGACTATTTCAGTTCCCATTATAAGTGTGTGGGGACTATTTTAGCACTTCTATAAATTTTGGGACTAAAATGATGCCATGTAAATAGTCATGGGACTATTTAGGCACTATACTCTTTTGGGTTTCTTAGATTGAAAACTCTTGTTACTAGCATATACTTCTGCTTTAAGACTGAATGATCAGATTGAGCTGATCTAGTAACTGCCAAAAATCAACACGAGTTCTCAACTACATAAGAAAATTTTGATAGCTGTTCAGATTTATGAATTTCCTTATGGTTGTAGAGCATGTTGGGTTGTTGAGCTGAAAGAAGACCATAAATAATTATTTTATCAAGACATGAACTCTTATCTTTGTTTTCTACCATACATATGGCAGTTACAGCTAACTATAGTTAATTAAGCAGTTTCACTACACTAATAAAAGTAAAAGTAGAGTTTTTTTCCTCTTTTTCTCTATTCAATTAATGATAGAGCAAATTTTATTCTTCATTTTGGTATTGAAACTTTCAGCGCAGCTCATAATTTGCCAAGATCTCTTATTTTGCTTCAGCTGCAGCTGCAACGGAATGAAGTCATTGCATTAGTGAATCTTCTGAACAGATTGTCAGAGTCTGTTAATTTTGTACATCAGATGGGTCCAGCTGCTGAGAACATAATGGAAAGAAGATCTTCCTCACCAGCTAGGAAGGTTCCCTTATAGCAAATTGAAGAACTGAAAAACATATACTTATGGTAATGCCTTTTGTTTAACCCTCAACTTTTATCCCACAGTAGCGTTCAGCAATTTTCACTTTCATATGTGACTTTTATTTGTATGTTATGCATTGATAAAATTTAAAGAGATTTTTTTTCCATTTATATATAATTTAGTATGTACTCACTATAATATATTTAAATATCAATTATCCAAGGATTTGGATGCATGGTATAAGATGTGTGGAGATGAGAACTTATACAACAACAACAACAATGCCTTAATCCCACTACGCGGGGTCGGCTACATGAATCCTTCTTCCCCATTGCGTCCTATTTAGTGTCATATTTTCATTTAGTTCTAATAAATTAAGATCATTTTTATACAATAAGCCCAAGTCTTCCTAAGTCTACCTCTGCCTTTCTTAACATAAGTAGAATCTAAAACATCTACTCTCCTAGTCGGATCATCAGATGGTCGATGCTTAATGTGACCAAACCATCTAAGGTGACTTTCTCTAATTTTGTCCGTCACGGGAAGCCACACCAACCCTATCACGGAGATATTCATTTCGCCTTTTGTCTCTAAGTGTAAAGCCACTCATCCACCTAATCATTCTCATCTCGACAACACTCTCTTTTAAATGCCAACATTTAGTGCCATAGAGCATTGCAAGTCTCACCACCATCTTATAAAATTTTCCTTCAGTCTAAGCGGTACTTTTCTATCACACAAAAGGCCCGAAACATTCCTCCACTTCAACCAACCAACTTGAATTCTACTATTAACATCTTCATCTATATCACCATTGCTTTGAATAACAGACCCAAGATATCTAAAACGTTCACATCTTTTAATAATTTGATCACCCAAAGTTACACTTCTGTCACTAGAGCTACTACTACTAAAATTATATTACATATATTCAGTTTTAGTTCTACACAAATAAAGGCCTTTAGACTCTAATGTAGACCTCCATAATACAAGCTTTTTCTGGGCTTTTTCTCTCGTCTTATCCATGAGAAGGATATCATCAACAAAAAGCATACACCAAGGTACATCCTCCTGTAAGTGTCCAGTAAGACCATCCATAACTAAAGCAAAAAGATATAGGCTT